AGATTGGTTAAAAATCCTATCCGAAATTAAAACTATTTTATTTATTTATTATTTTATAAAAAAAAAATAATATTTTAAATGGGCTGGGTGCCAGCGCATTTTGTAGGGATGAAGATCATTTGTGTTTGCGCATTTTTTAGACCTTGTGCTAGCGCATTTTTTAGGGGTGTAGATACATTTGGCCTATTACTGTTCATTGGGGTATATCACTGTTAACTGAATAGATTAAATGAGCTAAATGCTAACGCATTTTTTTAGAGGTGGACTTGCTCTAAGAGCTGTCTCTTGTGGCATCTGAGACACTTGAGAGTTGTCCCCTCTCCGTCGTCAAACATCACGGCAACAAGGCCATTCTGCCAATTTTATTAGCTCAAGTTTTAATCTCGTCTTAGATTTCTCCTTTCAATTTTCTCAATATTGTTTTCCTTGAGGACTCAAATAAAGGACTTCATTTCGCTTTCTGACATTTCTGTCATTTGCCAGAAACTAATTAATATCTCATAATTTAATTATATTCAAAATAAAGCCAAACAACTCAAATTCAGCTGTCTTTCCTGTAATTATCAAGCTAATCCATCACTGTATTCTAACAGAGTATTCACAATATTCTAACATAATTTTACTCTCCATTCAATGTAAATAAAATAGGAGCAATATTTCTTGAATTTTGGTGCAATTGGAACTTTGGTCCTTGATATTAAAATCCATGAGTTTTGATCTTTGAACTTGTCACAAAGTGAAGTAATAATCCCTTCGAGTAACACCGTTAGAAATTTTATCCAAAACAAAGAGTTTCTAGGGGGGAATGGATGGAAATTTTAACAACGTTAGTGAAAATGACCATTGTTCTACATCATAATAATTTTAGAACCGAATACTCACATAATTTAAGTTTAGGGATCAAAGCTCCGATTGGGCTAAAGTCAAAGATTATTGCTCTAATTATCTCTTCGATTTGTACTCTAAAAAATGGATTAATACAGAGGTACATTATTTCCATTTCAAAACTTGGCAGGGATCTATAACAACAATGATGTGTGTGGGGCATGGTCTAAAATATCGATATTATCCCAATATTTCCATCGAAATTTCCATTTTTTTGGACTACCGATATTTCCGATATCATCGATATTTTAGACCTTGATAGGAACTCTATGTGATACTAAGTCACTCATGTATCTTACCATGCAATGTATAAAGTGTAAAATATTGTACTAATTCATTATATATAAATGATTATGGTGTGTTTAAACTTCTTTCATTAATTACTACATATTTTCTACACTCACAATGTTTGCCAGCTCGCTATATAATGAACTTAAATTAGTTAAATCCATCAAGCAATACATTTCCTTCCAATTTTTTGTGATAAACTAATAGATAATTGACTAAATAAACATCCTGCAAAGTTTCAATAAAAATTTCCAAGTTTTTCTTACAATTTTTATCGATATCAATAATATCCCGATATTTTCATCGAAATTTCTGTATTTTTGGACTATCAATATTTCCGATATCATCGATATTTTAAACCTTGGTGTGGGGTTAGAATGTTGCCACAATCAAAACTCACTCGTACGCGTGTCCATGACTGACGCTAGCAAAATTAAAGTAAACTTCCTCTGCGTCAACTTTGCATTTGATAATCACATGGCACTGAAAGTACTTCATAAATTTGATGATAGCCAAAATACATACAGATAAAAAGCTTAGTCACTGCTTGATGTATGGAGTATTGATGACCATTGATCACCCCCACCTACCAAGGGCAGTCCCTTCAGGACCAGGTCATGTTCGTGTAATCCATGTGGTCTTAATTCTTTCTAATTCACACCACATGATGTGTTCTGTAGCTGCCTTGAAAAATCCACATGTACTTCTTTTCGCCTCTTGAATTATTGGTAGTTAATTATATTGAAATTCTCATTTTGATATTCACGACAAGAGTTGGATTCTCATCCTTTTTTCAGTCTGAAAGAGTAGGAATTTATAGAACTTGGGTTTCTTTTCTTTCATTTGAATTATGAAACTCCGCACTCATATACATTCGTCATTCAGAACATCTTTTTGCACTCGTGTTTTTTATGTCTCCTTCCTCGTAAGTACAACTTTTCACCCAAGGGAACTAAAACTACCGAATCTCGGGTTTGATTGAATAAATGGAATCACATTAGAAATCTAGGTTCATGCTGATTCCACTGATGTTGAAACAGAAGCATGATGGGCATGTCAAAACTGCATAAACAGATGTTATATTCAATATAATTAAGTAGAATTAATATAACTCTTTTGTGTTAGACATGCGGCATGTACACATTTTTTAAGATAGAACGATAGCGGTTTTGTTAGAGCATTAAATAAAAGGAAAACTAATTAATATAACTTGAAAACTTTGAGTTTTAATGATAAGGACAAAATAAAGGGAAAAATGAATAGTACCATGATTGACTTTTTAATGTAAAAATGTGATTTTTTGTTAAAGTGAATAGTACTAGGAGTTTTTCGTTAAAATTCCCTTAAATAAATGATGAAACTTCAAAGAGGACATCCTTGATTAAATTTAAGGTGTTCTTAAATAAAAAAAGACTCAAAAAACAAAAAATAAGACTAACTCGCGGATTCTTAAAGCCACCATATTGGCGGATTTATGAAGTGTTGCAGCATGTAGATATTTCTTTGGGAGTCATAGTATCTTATGATATATTTATTTGTATGAAATATGAATGCAGGAACCATATTCCAACATCTCCAAAATATAAATACTTGCATATCCCTTTGTTCAACTTCATAGAGAAATATAATGTATGGCTTGTTTAGTTGAAATATATTAATATTAAAATCTTTTTTAACACTGTTTTTGTAGGTTGATTAACAAAAACTAAATATTAATATAAGAAAACTTTTAAATAGGGTAACTTTGAATGCGGTCCTTATTTTTTAACGTTATTTGACTGAAACCTTGTTAGTTTTTAGTTTTTTATTGAAATCCCTGAAATTACTGCAATATGCATTTCTGTGTAGGTTATATAATTTTAAATTAAAATTTGATATTTGTAGTTACTTATATTAATGAGATTTTAAATAAAATTCAAGATTTGTGGGATTAAAAATATTAAAAAGATCTTAATGACATGATCTGTCATTAAGATAAATTATATTTAAATAAAATCCATGATGTGTCATTACTTATATTATTGACATTTTACATACACGAAATTGGTAATTTTTAAACGGTACATTTTACGTACAAAAAGTTGGTACCTTTCATACAAAAAAGGTGGTACGTTTTATATAAAAAAAAATGAGTACATTTCGTATAAAAAAATGGGTACATTTTATATAAAAAAAAACAATTGGTACATTTTAAATTAAAAAATAAATAAATAGGTCTTACATTATAAAATGGATACATTTTACATAAAAAAGGTACTTACAAAAAAACAATTTGGTACATATAACAAATTGATACATTTTAAAAGACAAATGGGTACATTATTAGTAAATTATTGGTGCAAATAAAAGGTTAAAAAATGAGTACAAATAAAAGTTTGAAAAAATATGTACACAAAAAGAAATTAATATATGTATACAAACTAAAACTAAAAAGAAAATTGGTACAATTTCAAAAAAGGGTTGCAAATTAAAATGGGTACAAAGTAAAAATAAAAATATATGATACAAAATTGAGCCATAAATATATATTAAATGTAATGTTTCCAACACTAAATGAATATATTTAGAAATAAATTTTAATTATCTTGACGTGTAAACTATTTTATTATTGAAATAATTAATGACGTTTATTAAAACTGAAAGAGCTTGATGAAAAATTGAAAAAGAATAAGGTTTCAATCAATAAAGTTAAAAAAAAAATGGGAACTTAATTTCTCCTTTTAAATATCTTATTTTTGGAAATTAAACGTCAAACACTTTTACCAACCCTAATTCTGATTCATCGCTTTGGGAAAAAAAAAAAAACCCCTGATTCATCGCTCACACTGCGACAATCAAGACGTAATGGCCAAACAAAAAAAAAAAAACAATCATATGTGTTATATACCAAAATTAGATTTAACCTATATATGGAAAATATCGGTTCATATGTGTCATTGTACTCTGTTTTTCTACTTCTCATTTGTCTGTAAGTACGACCCCTGTGTTCCTTCTTTCTTGAGTTTTGTGATAATGCAAGATTCGTTTATTTATGAGCATATAATGTGTGAATAAGTAACATTTTCCTTTTAATAACAAAAGACATCTGTTCTTGACATACAGAACCACGTTGATGCTTTGTTTATGATAATATACTTTAGACTATCTCTAAAGGAAATTTTAAATTTTAAACATGAAGTTTAAATTTGACAGCTTATGTGACACTTTAATATCTTTTATAGTTTTATTCTTCAACTCATATGTCAAATTTAAATATTAAACAAAAATTCATACTTATTTTCTTTACATTGGTAATGAAAGAAAATGAATTAAAAAGTATAAAAATATTTAAACATTGCATTCGTAAAAGAAAGTAATTAAAAGGCAAGGCTTTAAACCAATTTCAAAACTTAATAAAAAGCATTTAATAATTAATTAATATTTTTTTTAAGCTATTGTCAAATTTGACAGGAAGGGGAGAGATGTCATTTTTTATTATGCTATATCAGATTTGGCTTTTGGATTAGAAAATATTAATACTACCTCTTTTTATCCCTATTGCTTATTTGAATTTGAATATTTTGACAGCTTATTTAAGGGAGGTGATACTATTAGTTCGTCCCAATCGCTTTAGGAAAAGGAGTGTAGCGTGGGTGGTCGGTTTGATGACTGCGACGCCCTGGTGTGTAGGTTTGCTCGCCTACTGGCCAAGCAACTTTTAGTTCCCCAAAGTTTGTAACTTCTTTTGAGTACTACAGTATATTTTTTAAAAACATTTTCCTTTTGATCACGGAGAGAGAACAATCTTTATTTTGGAGATTATAGTTATTAAGTTATAACAGTATAAATTAACCAAATCTGCAGAAAGAGGTGAGCTTAATTAATATTATCTACATTTTTACATTTTCAAGACAAGTATTGCTACTACCAACCACGCAGATTTGACAAATATTTACTGAAAATCTTTCTACGATTCTTTTTCAACAATCACAACACCACAGTGAGGACGTGGCGCTTTATGATTTGATTAACTACTATACGTAACTGCAAATTGAGCACTCAGTCTTAACTGCTTCCCTACTTCAAGGACTAATAACACTAGGAATTCAAGCTGGTTGACTGGTTGGTTATACCTATCGAAAATTCTACGATACTTCGAAGCATTTTTATATTCTGAAGTTTTTAAACGTTAGATCTTGTTTATTATATTTTTTTATCAAGAGTTTAACGGTTAAAAAATCCAGAGTATAGAATTCCCTTTAAATATTGTTTCCTTCTTGAACATTACCTGTGGGTGGAGGCGTTGGATAATTCCAATTCAGCAACTCTTCTATCATCTGCATTGCAAGTTTATCCTCTTCATCCGGTTCTACCACACTCACTCCACCCTCAGTCAACCCCACCATTGACGATGAACTCGACGACGATGACAAGGACGACATCAATTCCTCTTGATTATCATGATTAGAACCCTGCTTCTTCTTCTTCCCAAGCTCAATCCTCATGACCCAATTGGAGCTCGCCCGCGATCCGGCCGGGCGCTTCTGCCAGACCCCAATATGGGAATTGTCATTGTCGAGTCGAAGGCAAGTCAGGGAGGGCGATTGGTCTTTGCAGCATTTTCTGAGCTTGGCCCTGAGTAGCTCGGAAAGTGCTTTTGGAGACCATGGGGTGTCTTGGTCAGTGGGGGATTTCGTGTCTTGGTCGGAATTGTTGTTGTTCAATATCGGAAAATTGGTCTTGGCATTCTGTCCGTTCATCAAAATTGCTGCTTGGTCATATGCTCTTGCTGCTGCCTCTGCTGTCTCAAATGTCCCTAGCCACACCCTCCTCTTACTAAATCATCAACAACAGAAAAGACAATAGAGAAAGTAAGACAGATTTCCATAACACGTTGCTCGAGCAGTGCAGTCAGTCTGATATGTTATGTTATTAGATTCTGCTTGTCAGACAATCTGATATGCTATGCTACCAGATTGTTACGACAACGATGAAATGGGGGTGGATGAAGTATTAAATGGAAGAATGTGAGAGTGTGGTGGACTTACAGTAATGGGTGGCGAATTTCTGACACCCAAGAGCCCCACTGTCGCTGCCTGACTCCTCTGAACTTCCTTGATTGTACCATGTTTTTTTAGAAGGAAATAACCAGAGAGAGAGAATTTGAGAGATGGAATTTTAGAGAGAGATGAGGGAAGAGTATAGGCATTTACAAGAACTGTCGGTAGCTTGCTTGGTCTGAAAGCCTTTTGTAGTACAGAGAGAGAGAGAGAGAGAGAGAGAGAGAGAGAGAGAGAGTGCAATAAATTATTCACCTGCACAGCCATTATAAACACCCTCAGGTTCTTGACAACTGGAACAAAAGAAAATGAGCATCATGTTATGATCCTTTCTCCCTCTCCCCACCAAAAAGAAATTGCACTTATTATTACTTACCAACAGAAAAAAAAAAAAAAAATCTTCTTTTACCCTAATCAAATTAGGGTTTGCTAATCCAATGTTGGTGAAGAAGCTGTTGTGAGAAATGCCATTGTTTCATGTTATTCTTCTTAGGTTTTGCTGTGATCTTGAATATAATCAATTAGGGTTACTTAATCCAACGATAAATAATATTGAACTTTTTGGAAAACTCTTGCACATAAGTGTATGTAGCGTCCCTCTCACAGTAGGAGTATTATATGCACTTTCATGTGCGATAATCTTTTCGTTTATATATTGCATAATTTATGAAGATTTTTCTTATTCCTTCGATGCTTTAAAGGTTGGTTAGTTGATTTAGTAAGACTTTTGAGGATTGGTTACTTACTCTAGTATAAGACCAGGATTTCTATATAAATCATGCTAATAGAATAGTTTACTAATTCAATTCAAAACAGACCCAATTTAGTATAATATTCTATAGAATTCTCTATGCATGCAAAATCGGTGTATACAATGCCTTCTCTCTTATAAATGAGTGGCGCATTATATACACATATATATATATATATATATATACAGGGAGCTTAAGGGAAGGGATCCCCATTTTTTCAAAAAAAATGGGGACACGCTCCCCACCGTTAGATTGACTTTAATGAAATTGTGTGGTTGAGATTAAAACACAGGCCATAGAATCTCAACCACAGGATTTCATTTAATTCAAATCCAACGGTGGGGAGCGTGTCCCCATTTTTTTGAAAAAATGGGGATCCCTCCCCTTAAGCAATTCCTATATATATATATATATATATGCGCTTTTTCGTGTATACATGAGGCATACTACAGACTTTTGTTCCTTTTGCTTTTTTCCTCAGATGGGCATTATGTGTTTGGTTAGGGGTTGACTCAAAAGACTCTTGTGGATTGATTAGTTACTCTTCTAGGACCACAAGGGTCTCTACATTATTGACCTTTTTGCGTCCAAATTTATTGTTTGGCGTTGAATTTCGACCTAGTTATTATCAAGGGACACTTTGGATGCGGTCCCTAACTATCAATATTCTTTGATTGAAACCTTGTTAGTTTTTAGTTTTTAATTGAGGTCCCTGACATTAATGTAATAATGTAAGTTGCTATATTTTTTAAATTAAAAATTGAAATTTGTAATTGTTTATATTAATGAGATTTTAAATAAAACCCATAATTTATGGGATCAAAAATAATAAAATATAAATTATACTCTCTATTATATTGTGTGTGTGTGTATATACATATATGTATGGGTACATTAACCAAAATTAACAAAAAAGTTATTGTACCAAAACATGGATACATTCTCAAATCAACGAAAAAGAATGTACCCATATAAGTTTAAACATGGATTAAAAAATTTGAAAGGATTTTATATTAAAAAAAAGGGTATATTTTAAATATAACAAATTGATATAGAGGTGTGAGTACATTTTAAATGGGTACATTTAAGATTAAAAAAATTGAAAAATTATATGAATGGGTACATTTAAGATTAAAAATTGAGAATATTTTTATATATATATAAAAAAAAAACTAATAGGTACAAACTTAATTTAATTTAATTTATTATTATTTTGGAAATGTTTGAATTGAAAATTAATTAGAAGTTTAATAGAGGTGTGAGTATTAAACCCTAAATTAATTACTAATTTTTATATTAAAAAATTATATAATAAACATGTAAATTCATTATCAAATTAATGCTAGGGACTTGAATCAAAATTTGAGAACTAATAAGGTCTTAGTCAATGAACAGTAAGAACTAGGGACCGGATACTAATTTTTCCTATTATCAATATATCATGTAGCATGGCTTGAATTATTGATCACCTTTTCTATTGCCTTACACTATCTTCCGGACCTATAATGCCAGTGAGTAAATTGCAACAAAATAAATGAAAGGATGTTGTTGTGAAGTTAGCTCGTGATCTAAGAGTTGGAATAGGTTTCTGGAAGTTTTAGACGTGTAACCAGTTTTTGGGCAACCTATCTAACCAAGGCAGCAAGCACCAACTCGAGAGGTAAGCAAGTGTAGAAAGTAGGATTGATTGCCCTGGCTACCGGTCGGATCGAGGCAGAAACTTCATGCGTGTTTCTTGGTGCTGGGCGATGGGTCGTGATAGCTACACGATCCATCAGATTCATGGTTTCCGGATTTTTGGGCTACTTTTTTCAGTCTTGTTTTGGGAGGGTTTCGGCTTTCTTAGAAGGATTCCTATATTGTAACCTAAGATAGGACTTTAGGTATACTAATATGTATAGGACTTTAGGGTTTTATTCTTTGTACAAGAAATACAAGAGTGAAACACTTTAAGAAATCGTGAGAGCTTGTGAGATACCAAGAACTAAGGTTTGGTTGGTTGTGAGCTATCATAGTCCATCGAAAACAATATATTGTTAGCGCACTTGCGTAACAAAGGCAGCATCCTGGATATAACTACTTTTCCAATATCTTCTTTTTATCGTTATGTTGGAGGAAATTGAACCATGAACCTATCTTAATTCAACCACAATACATCATTCTCCTTTGCAATTGACTAACTACCATTGACTTTCTTTTTAATCTTTCCTCTTTCCTCAAAACATCAATATATTGAATTTGTCCCATTATAAATTTGCTGATACATTTACATCGACACTCAAGTGCTAAGTAATTACTAATTTGAAACGACATTAACCACTAGTATAGCAGGCTTAAAATAATGTATTACATTGGCATCTTCTACAATCAATTAATACATTGACTTGGTTTGTGCATAAAATTAAAGCACATTGGTCTACATAATCTTCACCAAATGACTTGGAAGATTCACAATAGGCACCTTGGAAGCAAAGTATATATATATATATATATATATTCCTTAAAAGTTTGTTAAATTTAATGTTGCTTTAACTCTTCCTTGAAGCTATATAGTATTCCTTTACATATATGTATATATATACATGCATATATATGCTTTATCTCCATTTTGTTGCAGTCCAACAATTCTCAAAGGGTTTTAGTGAGAGAAGTTAACAACGGTGCCACGTTTGCTTCATGGGATGCTTTATGCAACGATATATGAAGTTGATAGGCTGGATAATGGATGTGGGTTCAACTTATTGTTCAATGTACCTTGTTTTTTTCAGCAAGATTGAACTGAAACCTTTTAATTTTGTGCATCATTTATTTGAGCCAGTTAAATTTGGCTGTCAATTCTTTTTGTTGATGTTGTTGTAATGCATATAAAGTGGTCATGCTTTTTGGGAAAATAAAGTATAAACTGACCAAGGAAAATTGCGTCTTCTTTTCTACTTTTTTCGATTTTTTCCCTCAAAAATCATGTAAAAGGGGTAATTCCAAAAGTAATAACCTAATGAATAAATGATATGGTTGTAAGTAATTTTGTTGTTGTTGGTATGATATAGTTGTAAAGTTGTATAATGAAGTGGCACAATAAAACCCAAATGACTTTTCAAAGCACTTCTTTAGAATTAGAACAACAGTATGCAAAATCTGATTACAAGGGCGATGGTGGCTCAATTGAGTCTTGTCTAATGATTAAAGTTTTGATTTGGAGTCTTCTTCTAATGAGAAATTCTTCAAATAAAAGTTATATGAGAAACATTTCAGTATTATTGACACATCCCGACCCGGAATACCCACTTGGGCTCCTAATCAAGTTGTGTTGGCCGACACCAGGTGATGCGAATTTTAACTTAACACACAAATTAAACCCTCTTGTTGTCAAATTGTAGTAAAAATGCAACTAGGGATCGTTCTAAACCGGGGATTAGGAGGGCTTGCTAAAACCTCTAAACTGACTTAAAAACATACAAACAAAGTTAAAAACACTAAACTAGACTAAAAGAACTTAAAACAAACTCAAAGGACTCAAAACAAGCTAAAAACGTTCAAATCTGCCTAAAAACACAAACTGGGCAGATTTAGACTCTAACACACTTTTGTGACACCTAAAAACACAAATCAAAACAGATTTTGACTAATAAAACACTTTAAAGTAAAGGGGGTTTTGATTTTGACGAATTTGAAAACAAAACAAGTAAATTAAAGAACTAATGAAATCTGCACGAATTTGAGTAAATTGAATGGATGGAAGGCTAGCTAGGAGGTTTTTCTCCACACATGACATACTTGCACATAAACCAATTTTCAGTTGTTCTTTCGATCAATCATGAAACTCAACACTCCAGGTTAATTAAGTCTGCTTAAATTAACCTTCAAGTTCTCCTTAAGTTATTGAATTGGATGGGAAAGCGAATACAACAATTCAAGCATTCTTCAAAAGTTCTTTACGTGAATAGCACAATAAAGATACAATCAAAGATCATTAAGCATTATGAAAACTATAAGTATTGACGAGGCACTCGTTACTATGATGAGCATGAAACTCCTGCCAAGAATTTATTTAACGCGATCATTTATAAACGACCTCCACTACTTGTGAATATAAGTTTGTAACTATTAGGTGAAACTCCCTTATACTCTAGCATCATATTCATGCATGCAAACTAAGTGTGCACTCTTAATAAGCATGCACGAATAAGTTATCAATCAAGCAGTTAAACAAATTGAATTCACAACTGAAGGTAATCAAATCATATTGCAAGCATGAACATGGTTTCGAATTTCCCCCTAGCTAAGGGGGGTTTAGTTCCTCATACTCACAAAGCAAAGATAAACAAATTTAGACATTGAAAACAAAAGAATGAAAACACCTAAAAACGCTCAAACAATCCAACTTGAATGGCAAGCACGTCCAAGGGTCCTCCTTCTTCTCTTTGTTGTGGCACAAGGTGTGGTTTGATGGATGAGTGGTAAATTATGGTGGTGGATGGATATAG